CCCCAAAACCCCAAAACCCCAAAACCCCAAAACCCCACTAGTAATGACGAATATTGAATAACTCTATATCTGAAATACGCAACTTTAAGCCTAAATTATTAATTCTGGTCACAGATTTCTTATGTTCGGTTTATTGAGTCCTTGATTTTCTTTGTCAAGTCTTCAAGTGGAACTATATTTAAAGTTAAGCCTCTCGATGTAGCTAGAAGTCTTGAACTCCAGTCAGACTGAAAGTCTGATGTTAGGTGAAAAACATGGGTATATTAACTTATTCTGAAATACCATTGGCTAATCCGCTAATTTTTTGACGTGGCAAATCAATTTTTTGTTTTAAAAACTAGGTCTAATAAGAGACGAATAGCAAATGCTCAGAATTTATGAAGAAGATAAAGGTCTGAACACTTCTGACGTCATTTCTTCATAATGGCTAAATTGGCAATTTATGACCCTTACATATTAAATAAGAGAAGTGACTTAACCTAAAGGCTCAGGAACAGAGATATAATTGATAAAGACGTTTCAGAAGACTACACAAGGAGCTTTATGGATCTTCACCAAGAACTTAATAGACTGGATCAATTCTAGAATTTAAGGAAAAGTAAGACACCCGCAAGTTTCAAATATCAAACTCAGCGTAGTATTCTTCATACACCTCCTCTTGAAGCTATAATCTATAATAATGAGTTGGATCAAGATTAGCATCCTCCTCTTTCCATCTGTTCTGTTCAAATAATCTCTTGTATACAAAGATAGAAGTCTTAATGAAAAATCGCGTAGGATTTAGGCAAAGAAAATTATCAGCGCTAAAATCTTATTCAGCTGATTTTATCAGAGAAGAAATGTTTACCTTGAGGTTATACTTCTCAGTGAATTTCTTTGGACATAGAGGGCACTGATGGACTTTCCTAGACTTAAGGTCTTTGTACTGATGCTGCCTCATGTGCTTGGTCAGGTTCCCTTTTTGAGTGTAGGACTTAGAGCACTTAGTTCACTTATAAGGCTTCTCGCCTCTATGCATGTTTATGTGCTCTTTATAGTTCCATTTATTTCTCAAAGCTACGATTTCATCCTGGAATTTTGCAATAGATTGTCTTATTTTTCCTCCCTGTTTTGGGGTTTATGACTATTTTTATCTCTGTTGGATGTGTTTCAGGCAATTTTTCATCCTTCCTTTTCCGGATTCTATTTAAGGAACTTTAGCATAATTAGGTTTTTTAATTATTTCAAAAGAGCAGATTTTCAGATTATTTAAACTTGTTAAAAGAGCCATATCTAGCTTAATAAAAACTCAGTCAAAAATTATTTAAGGATGGCATTTAAAGAAAGACTCCTGACTCCCTGGTGCAGTGCAATAGGCTAGAAGATATTCCTATCGAATCTAGCTAGCTTTTGATTACTTTTAAATCAGGTTGAAAAAACTATGATGGTAATATTTTACTTCCTGAAATTTAGTGATAGCCTTATCACACAATTCGCTCTTTTGTATCAATTCAGTGCTAAGTACTAAATATGCTCTAGAATATTCTAGATGCTTACAAATAAAGATTTACATGCGACTTGGCTACTAAATGAGGCAATGATCAAGACCTAAAGTGCTCTTTTCAAACAAAAGTCATAAATTTCAGAGTTCTTACTTTGCATTATTTCTTATCTGGGCGAGTTCATTTTGATTCGCAACACTAATGTCGTCATTCTTTCAGTTTTTCTGAAGTTCCTCAATTAAGGTCTTCTCCTCCTTAGAGGCTTTACTAGACTGGTCCATTGATGAAAGAGCATCAGTACTGCAAGAGCAATAGCCCAGGACTTGTAAGAAGTCCTCTGGCAAGATTTTATCTTCAGAAATCCTGCTCACCAATTTTGGAAGCTTGTCAAGTTTGTTATGAGTTTTCATTACTCTTGCAATATTTAAGAATAATGGATCAACAGTGAGTACCAAGCTCAAATTCATTATGCCATTTGACAGTAAGCACTGGGTTATACTCTTGTATTGAGATAACTGTAGGTTCGAAATTGGATTCATTTATCGGTATGTATTCTAAATTATTACGTTTTCAAAAATTCCTGGCTATAAAGGGGTTTTGGGGTTTTGGGGTTTTGGGGTTTTGGGG